TGTTAAAAAATATATTCTTATGAAAATAATGTAACTCAAACAAGTGCTTAAAGAGTCTTTTTGCATTTGATGATAAAAGCTGGTTTTGACTGAAGTTTAATAACTGGAAACTTGAACATCATTTAGTGGACTCTCAACTGGGCCACCTTATAGGGCTCTTAGTTGTGTCTAGTCAATAGGCTTGACATCTCAATCCAACATGGGAGTTGAAATATACGACCTTCTCTCAACTTCTCTAGGCTTTTGTCATTAACAGAAACAGACTGCAATTTGTAGATTAATTATTTCAGAAAGAATAAAAAATTTATAATTAATCAATCAATATTTTAAATTAGAAGTTTATTAATTAGGCTGCAATTCTAGCTTTTAAATCCGAGCAATATAAAGTGGACTTGTTAAATAGGTTTGGTAGGCTCTTTTGGACTTAAATAGAGCTGAACTTGTTAAAAGGTAGTTTATATTGACATCTCCATTTTATTTATTACATCACTTAATGTACTAAATGTCCCTAACTTTTGCATGTTGTCGCATTTATGTTTTCAACTTTTATTTTTATCATATTCTTATCTTTGGCATTTCAAGTTTTGCGTGTTGTCGTGTTTTTGTCTGTATCTTTTTTTTTTTTTTTTGTCGCATTTTTATCTTCAATATTTCGTTATTAGTATATGTGGTCTTTGATGATGGGTTCCATCCATAAAGTTCGTTAGGAACGTGTGAAAAGATTATTTCCTCTTCATATGTTTAGGTCAGCAAAAAAAACAAAGAAAAGTGTGATGGAATATTTGCCTTTCATTACAAAGCATGCTAACAAATTTACATAAAAGCAGCCCCCCAGGGCACTTCTCCACTGGCAAAGGACGGACGCTGTCAAACCTGGCAGAGCAGAGGTCGTGAGTTCGAAACATGGGGCTCTTGGAAGGCAAGGATTTATTCTTGGAAGGCAAGGGAACATTTGGAAGGCAAGGATTTATTCTTGGAAGGCAAGTGGGAACTTGGAAGGCAATGATTATTCTTGGAAGGTAAGGTCCAACTTGGATTGGCTTGCTTGGCACTTTGTCAGACCAGGTGGGGAGCGCTCGGACCCTGGCCAGTTGGAGGCACATCCTGCGATTAACCGGACTGTGTGAAGAGGGGCCGGATCACAGACCCAAGGATTAGTCAAGAATTGGACACCTTTAAAAAAAAAAAAAAAAAAAAATTTACATAAAAGCAGTTACATTCAAATAAGTAAATTTACTATATTTCTATGTGAATTTTAACTTACTTCAATGTATTCAATTATTAAGGAATTCAATTAAGGATCGAAAAAATTATAGAATGGTATCTCTATCTTCTACTAAAATTTTCAGCTTGTACTATTTGGTTTAAACTAAAAATTCTCATTTCAGCTCATCACCGTTCACAAATAAATCAATTTAATCAAAATCAATAGCAAAATTGTACACAAATTCCAAATAAAAATTGACACTTCATAATCAAAATCATAGGTTCAAATTAGCTACACACGGTAAGGTAAATATCACCAAATTTTGATGAAAAAAGAGAAGAAATAAAGAAAATCCTAATCCTTCAATCAGTGGTGAAATTAGACATTCTTCATTATATGGTCAAAAATTAAGGCCGTGGTTGGTTTGCCGTTTTCAGCCCATTTTTCGTTTTTGAAAATGAGTTAAAATTTATATCTGAAAACACAAAGCGACTTTTTATCGTTTTCAGCATTTTCAGTTATAAATGTCGAAAATGCTCAAAACGCGGAAAACGAGCCGTTTTCGGGAAAAACTAAAAATCGTTTTGAAAATGAAAATGGAAAATGAAAATGCAAACCAACCACTACCTAAGTAATTTATTTTCAAGCAACATAAACATTAATGAGCATATTTCAATTCATTACTACGAATGTTAGCTACACAATTGGTAAAAATGACTATCCTAAGTACAGACACAATATTGAAATTCGGGCTCGAGAGAAGTTGAGAAGCAAAAAATGGAAAAAAAAAAAAAAAAAAAAAAAAGTCGTGCAAATGTGTGAAAAGTAAGAAAAAAAAACAAAAGTTCACAAATTTTTGTAGGGTCAACTGTCCCCACACTAGAGCATATGAATCCACCCATGCCATCAATGCTTATTTTCCAACCCTACATAGATTTTTGTTTGCAGCATATATACCCTCCTATTTAGCCTTGAAGTTCGTACCTCAAGAATCCCCAAAATGCCCCCAGCAAATTCCCATCGATCACTAGAAATTGCATAATCGTGGGTATATTTAGGCAAACGATGTGTTGCAATAGCTAATCCTCAATGTAAGCTTCTTCTCGCGGTGTGCTACGTCACTTCTCATTTTTCGTCTCTCATTTTCTACTTTTCATTTCACTCTCGACTCCCTTTCACCAACTCTTCGACCACTCCAATTTAAATCCTCCTCTCATCTCAATTCTCCATTTCTCATCGTCTATAAATCGAACCTAAAACACAAGAAAACACACAAAATCAATGACAATACGAAACTAGTGACGTGTAAATGCACGAGTTTGAGCACTTGATTAAAGAGTTGGATACGAAAACTATAACTATAAATATGGATTCTTCTACTATCAATTAATAAAATTTGAGATTTAAGTATTACAGAAATAATCAACTTTACACATCACCCTTCCCACAAAACATATTCCTACTACTATTTTATCCTTAAAATTGAAGGATCCGATGACCAACATCCACGTCCCAATTCGATTATTATTAAGAAAACGATGAGATTTGAAGTAGGATGCTATTCTGTAACAAAAGTTTTCCATCATATCCACTCAAAATAACAATACTTTAATTATGAACAAAATTTCTTTAAAGTCAAATCTCTGAGAAATCTATCCCAGCCTCATAAATTGAGAGCATATATTTGGTACTTTGAATTTTTAACTTATAAAATGAGGAAGAAAATGACTGCCAACAACTTTAGTATAAGTTACAATTAATTATCTTTTGAAACAAAAAAGGTAAGACTAACAACTCACTAAATTTTAATTATGATAATTTTCAAGATAAACTTTTTATCCATCTTATATCCTTAATAACTTTTTCTTAAGGATGAAAATAGAATTTTTATTTTATATTGAAATTGACTATTGAATAATGAAACTAATATTCCGTCGAATCCGTCCAAAGATTAAGGGTGCGTTTCCATTTTCTGTTTTTAGTTTTGAATTCATTTTTAATTTTCTGTTTTAAGAGACTATTTTCGAATTAAAGAAAAAGTGTTTGATTTGTCATTTTGAAAAACAATTTCTCAAAACAGAAAACTAGAAAATACGTTTGGTTTAAAAATTTTAGAAATTATTTTATGACATTTGTTCAATTAATTTGATTATTTAGTAAAATATAATAATTTTATGCTAATATAATATTATTAGATAATATATATTTTAAATTTGGTGAATTTAGCATTTTTTTCTAGCTATAAAAATAAAATAATAAATAATAAATTTTTAGAAATTATTTTATGACATTTATTCAATTAATTTGATTATTTAGTAACACAACAATTTTATGCTAATATATTACCTGATAATATATATTTTAAATTTGGTAAATTTACTATCTTTTCTTGCTACAAAAATAAAATAATAAATAATAAATTTACAGACCAAAAATAGAAATCGTTGTAAAGAAAATAGTTAATCTGTCCTTCATCCTTCTAGATGTATTTTACTATCACTTGGACAATAAAAAAGGAAATAATAGTTTTTCCAAATTTTGATCAACGAAAAAAAATAATAATAGAAATTAAAGAATGTTGTGGGTTTTAAAATTATTATGCTTCACTAAATTGTATCATATTACAATATTTTATTTTAAAAGTACTACTAAGCATCCCCTAGGTTAAAAAAAAATAAAAAAAAGCGTGTTTTGAGCATTTTCCGCATTTTGAGTTTTTTAACTGAAAATACTCAAAATGGAAAAAAAAATCATTTTGAGTTTTCAGTTATAAATTTTTCCTTATTTTTGGAAATACATTTTCGAAAACGACAAACAAAACAAGTTTTGGACATTTTTGAAAACTAAAAACCAAAAACGACTTGAAAAAGACAAACCAAACGCGCTCTAAACTCTTTCCTCAAAACAATCATCTTTACTTCCCTGGTAGATTTTTTTTTTTTTCATTATTTCTTTGCTTGATCTATCTATGCTTTATTAACTTAAATCCAATCCTTATTTATTAAAAATCAATTACAAAAACCTGAACCGAATCCAAATACTAAGCTAGCCATTTAACAATATTTAGTATCACTAGCTAGCTTACGCTATGATCCGAATAGCATGGGACACATGGAATCTTTAAGTCATTAGTAATTGTATTTTATCTCCATCAGTTTTAACTTTTAGATTTGACAATTTAATTTAATTTTGAAGTAGACAAAGCAACGCCATTATTTACTTATGAAAATTATGAATATATATACCAAAATTTGGATAAAAAAATGTAAATTAGACCTACACGTAAAATCCTTTAGATGAATTGATTTTAAGGGCTACCCCACTAGTCGAAGGCATTAAAGATCCACAAACATTTGTTTTTTGGCTTGAAAACGCTCCCCACCCAGCTTTTTCTGTCCCACTTTTTAATAAAGCTAAAGCAAGAATAAAATGATCAACAAATACGAAGAAAGAAGTGGCGGGGTGGGGGTGCGGCTGGGGGTGGGGTGCAACAAATACAAAAACTTCCTCAACCCCACAAGTATAAAATACTCCTTAGTTGCCCCTCGGGACATAGTCCAATAGTGCAAAGGACAAGAGTGAGGTTATCTCACGTCTTGCTGGCAGTCGCAATGTAGGGATTCGATTCCTGAGACATGAAATTGGACTTTTTGTAGGCGCAGTATACAGACAGCTCTTATTCTCTTGCCTGCTGATCACATTCCGCGATTTACCTCCTTCACAAATCTCTAGAGGGGGCCATAGGACCCTCAAGATTGGGATTCAACCTTTATAAAATACTCCTTAGTTGACAAAGACATGGGGTTACTTCAAACTCTAATTATGAGAAAGCAAACATAATTCTGAAAACTTCAACAAAAGTTCGTTTTGGTTCACAAACAAGGAAAGATGAGAAAGTGAGTGCAAAACCCATAAGCTAAAGAGAAAATAAGGGGGAGATTAATTTGATTTCCTGTTGTATTTCAAGGTTACTCTCTGCAGGTTTAGATCAATTAGTGGAGTAAATTTCCAGTAACAAATGATGGCTAGAAACCCTAACTGGTGGAGTGTGAATGGCATGCATCCACAGTCTCACCAGCTCTCTTCTTCTTCTCCATTCCTGTATGTTTCTTCTTCATCATCTTCGGCTGCTACGGATTCTTCAACTGCGAATCCCTCTCAAGAATTTCCCGTACGGTCATGGAGCCAACTGCTTCTGTAAATCTCTCTCTCTCTCTCTCTCTTCCTCCCCCTCTCCCTCCCTCCCTCTCCCTCTCTGTGTGTGTAGTAAGGGATAAATCCCACCTATATTGAAGATAATATCAATAGCTTATATATAATGGGGTTTTTGTTTATTTATCTACCCTAGCTAGTTCTTGGCTGCCAGCAGATTGTCTGTGCGTGAGTAATCAAACTTCAAAGAATTTTATGTATCTCTTTATTTTCCTTTTTTCTTAGTATTTAAACTTCTTTCTTGATGTGTGCACCTTTATATGCAAACTGCAACTATCTATCTCTGTGTGTAAGATTTGGGAGGTTATTTGACACCGGAAGTTGTGTTTGATCAGGAGCGGATTGGCCGGAACTGGAGAAGAAGAAAGGTTTGGTGGTAGTCTTTTTCAACAACAGAAGAAGGTAGAGAATTGGGAAGACCATGTTTTGAACCCATCTTTAAGGGATCCTGTTGTTGATGTAAAGCAAGAAGTTGCTCAAACAAGCCAACTTTATGGTCACGTAGACGAGGAATTTCAAGTTTCTAGATCTTCTTGTTGGCCTCAAATAATTCCAGTGTCGTCCCCTACCTCTTGTATCACAAGCTCAAGCAACAATATCTTGAATTTCTCCGGCGCCAAGGTCGACCACGACAGGAAGACTCAACTTCCAGATCATTCTTCTGAGGTGAGACAGAAACAAAAATAGAGCAAGAATTGAATTTTTTTTTTTTTTTTCCTTTATCATTCATTCATTCTTTAAGTCCCATATCAAAAGCTTTATAATCCAGAAGAAAAAACAAAAGTGATTATTTTCTTAGCACGCCCAAAAAGTCCCATGATTAGTATGCTTGAAAATCTAACAAAATGACTCATAAATCATAATAATAGCCTACAACTAAATTTGGTGTCCGTTACATGAATTTTTTTTGCTGTTCGTTCAATCCATTGTTACATAGCTGTTAGAATTGTTCATTGTTTGTTGAGTGTATATTTTCTCTCTTTGTTCCTTTTGTTAAAGTGCAACAGCACGAGCACTGGAGGGGTATCTAAGAAGCCTAAGGTTCAACAGTCTTCCACTCAACCAGCTTTGAAGGTCAGGAATAATATTTATCCCTTTTAAAAATTTTCATAGGGGCTTCATTTTATCTTGATTTCTTCACAGAATTCGTTTACATCAATGTATAAATTCATACGATTTTCTTAAACAGGTGAGAAAGGAGAAATTAGGGGATAGAATAACAGCTCTTCACCAACTTGTTTCTCCATTTGGAAAGGTAAATTATTGCATTCTTGGTTCTCCAGTCTCCATTATTTACTAAACTCAAGGAATAAATCTGCAGCAACATTATAATTAATTAGATGAAACCAGAAAACTGAAAAGATCCCTTTTTTTCCTCTTCAACTTTATCATCCCATCTAAGGTTGTCTTTTAAGATTAAAGAAAAGTTTAAAAAAAAAATGAGCTTTGATTTGAGGTTGTGTTAACTGTTATGGCATATTTCTTTCCCTTTTGCAGACTGACACTGCTTCAGTCCTGACTGAAGCCATTGGTTATATCAGATTCCTTCAGGGTCAAATTGAGGTAATATGCTCCATAATATTCTGTGCAAACAGCAAACAGCAAAATCACTGGTTGAATATTATATGTTTTCATCAGTCCATTGAAAGAATTAGTGCAAGAAATTCTCTATAATATACATTCTTCACGCATTTTCGATGGTATAGTTAGTATAAGATCTATTCTTTCCCTTTTAATTGATATGAGACAAGACAAAAGAATTACACAATTTCTCGAAAATTCTGCAGGCACTGAGTTTTGCAAACAGCAAACAGCAAAATCACTGGTTGAATATTATATGTTTTCATCAGTCCATTGAAAGAATTAGTGCAAGAAATTCTCTGTAATATACATTCTTCACGCATTTTCGATGGTATAGTTAGTATAAGATCTATTCTTTCCCTTTTAATTGATATGAGACAAGACAAAAGAATTACACAATTTCTCGAAAATTCTGCAGGCACTGAGTTCGCCGTACATGCGCAATGCAACAAGAAGCATGGGTCACCAACAATCTGTAAGTAACTATACATGCGCATTTCACATTTTCCCATGCAAAACTAACACTGTAATGTTTTATTTTTTAATTTTTTGAGATATGTACATGTACAGATATTTTGGACAGATAGGTTGACGGATGCATAGGTGTCCTTGATTTGCCACGCAACTATCAATTCGAATCAAGGGACAAATGTGGCATTAGCAATCTACCTGTGCAAGATATCTGTACAAGTAGAATTTTTTTTTTCTAATTTCTATGCAATAAAATTATGAATTAACAAATGTTTTTTCCCAAGGTTCAAGAAAGGGATTGTTTATTTCCAGAAGAGTCTAGTCAGGTATGCTTTATCGGATCCATCACTTCCTCAAAAGAGGCTTTAAATTAAATTATTGGTTAATTACAGCATAATGCATGCAACTATCAATTCGAATCAAGGGACAAATGTGGCATTAGCAATCTACCTGTGCAAGATATCTGTACAAGTAGAATTTTTTTTTTTTCTAATTTCTATGCAATAAAATTATGAATTAACAAATGTTTTTTCCCAAGGTTCAAGAAAGGGATTGTTTATTTTCAGAAGAGTCTAGTCAGGTATGCTTTATCGGATCCATCACTTCCTCAAAAGAGGCTTTAAATTAAATTATTGGTTAATTACAGCATAATGCATTTGTTTTGAGTAGAACAAGTAGCCTACACAAAAACATGGTTCCCAGCTTTATCTACTTAATTTTGCTAATAACAATGAATTTAATCTTGTTTTTCAAAAGCAATATTCTTAAAGCCAGCCTTAATTTGATAACTGTACTTTACCTTGTTTATGAATTTTCTTCATCTAGTTCTTGAATGATGTTGGCATGGAAGGGAAAGGAGCTTCTGAGGAGGTGAACGATTTTCTTTCGTAATTAAATAAATGCAATGATTAATTACAAATATGATTTCAAGTTTAATTTTATTTTATGATAGGTTTCCATATAAATTAAATACTGAAATTATCGACTATTAATGTTTTAGAATTAATTAAACACAAATCTAACACCGAGTTTTTTTTTTTTTTTTTTAATTGCTCCCTCAGTCTTGATTTATATAAAAATTCACCAAACTATTTGTCAGGAGAAAACCATCTAATTTGTAGCAGTTGTTCTATAAATTTTTTCATAAAATCGTCGAAAATTCAAATAATCTAAACTAATGTCTCGTTTTGTGGCAACATAATTATAGAATAGCGAAGATGAAGAGAAGGATTTGAGAAGTAAAGGGCTGTGCTTGGTTCCAGTTTCTTGCACTCAGCATGTGGGAAATGACATTAATGGAGCTGATTACTGGGCTCCGGCTCTTGGTGGCGGATTTTGATTTTGATTTATTTTCTGCCGCCGTGCGCCAGTACTCCGACGCAGCGGCCTGGTGGTGGAGCTAGCGATAACATCAGAAACAGTCAGTCTCCAAGCGAGGTTGACTGCCCCTGATGCTACCATGCATTCTGATAGAGTGAAGAAGACTTTCTGTTTTAAAAAATAATATGAACAATAATAATGATTAATGACCTAGCTGATGTCCCATGTATATATGCATTTTAACTTTAGTTGGCTCCATTTAATATCATCTCTAGCTCTATTATTCTTATGTTTTTAAGGGTGAATGCAATGTTAATTTGCTACAAAAATTAGGGTATTTGGTATTGAACCTTTAGAAAGACGTTTTATTATAGTTGCACAAGAAATTTCAATAGCACGAAGAATCCAACGATTACGTATAAAGGGTAGATAACCTTATTTATTAGGTAATTCGATATTGATGTCCTAAGATGTAAGAATAAGTCAATCCTCGTTATTGTTTGGAATTTTCGAGGATTTTTTTATTTTATTTTGGTCACTAGTGATATTTTATTTTCAAATGAGAATAAAATTACAGATAATTGAATAATTAGCTGCTAATAGCTAAGCATGGAAATATTTTGTGACAAGCTCATAGTTTACATTACAATATGGATAAAAAAATATTGCTTATCTCAATTATCTAAATATGCTTTTCCAATTCAACATACATACCATACATGCCATAAAAGGATAATATGCTTTAATTAATTTATTTATTTTTAATCAGATTTTGATCGATTTTATAATTATAAGTGCTTAATGATTTTTTTTTCCTTTTATTTGACCGTTAATTTTTTTTCTTATTTTAGGGATTGATATCTCACAACGAATATGCAATATTAAACACCAATAGAATTTTATTTACGTGTATTTATCTAGCATTTTTATGGGATGATTATACCACTATCGTCTTACTAGCTAAATTAAATTTCACTTAATATAAGAAAATTCTTTTTCTAGAAATATAAAAGAAATCATTTCAACAAGATAACATAATTCATTATTAGTTGGCAATATTTTCTTTTAATAGTTATACATGATAATATGATTTATACTTGCGATAGTAAATTGTCATTATTTCTTCTTATATAAATTTATTTAATAGATTTTTCTGCTCTTTGTTATTTTTTATTGTGATTTTTTTTTTGGTCTTAACTAAATAAAGTAATGCAAAATTATGCACAAAAGAGGGTGTTAATGAAGGAACATTCATAGAGAGCTATGCTTTAAGTTTTGTTCAAAAAAAGCTGCGAATTTAAGCCAAAAATATTTTTACTTCGTAATTAGAATACTATCATTGCTCTTACGACTCAAAATAATATTACATAAGTATTAATCATAAATCATTTTTTTTTTCGTTTTAGTTTGGTGGTATCCATCCCTAGAAGAGGCTGTAAAACCTCCTTTAGTTCCAAGAAATCATTCTTGACCACACAGATAAATAGATAATAATATAATTCATCTACAATATTAACGATACCAATAAAAATATGAATAATTATACTCCTATAAAGTTGGTGTACAAAAGTGGAGTGCCAAAGTGTGTTGACAAAAGCTGGACACTTGATTTCAAATGATTTAAAATTTTATTTTTGAAATGATTGGTGTAGATTTGATTTTGTAACATAACTTTGTAAACCCCCTCTATCCTTGTAGCATAGCTCTAAAAATATTATGTTACATACATTTTTTGTCACTCAATTTAGTTAGTCACCACATCTACCGAAAGATCCAAATAAATATCATGCTAATTTTAGACGACTTCTCGATCTTCAACATACTGTACTTAGATTGTGTCGTTCTCAGGATCATGAAACTCTTTTAAGTTTATAAATTTTCATAATCGATTGTGAGAAGTTGAGAATGTTTTTTTCCACCAACCATTCAAACCTAGTTTGAAAATTCGTTGAAAGTGAGATTATTTAGACCCATCTCACCCCATTCCACCCCACGCCAAGCCAACCACCTCCACCCAAAGGAAACCCCAGGGTCTACTGAAAAAACTTTCTCAGGTGAATTGTACCAAAAATGAAGATAGATGGACCCTTCTCTCTCTGTCTCTCTTTTCCCTCTCTACAATTTCTAACATTATGAGTGACACATTGCTGATAATTTCATCATTGTGACGTCATGCTTTCATCATTCGCACAATCTTATAAAAGAATTAAAAATCAAATTTTAATTTTTTTTTAATTTTATATTGGACTATTCCACTTTTTTATAATCCACTTGTTTTCCACTTTGCTAAAAGAATTTACAAAAAAATGTTCCAAACAGGACACAGTGGGTGTATATATTTATATAATGAGTATGCGTGTATTATTTGCAATGGGAAATTAATCTATGGCCAAAGAATAAGGTCAACACAACAATCAATTCATAATAATATAAATATAAAAAGAAAGGTTGTCTTTTTATGCTTTTTAAAAGGGAGTTTAATTTTTGCCAAGCCAAGAATGTGACAGCTGATGACTGTAACAAATTCAGCTTTTCTCTTAAAAATAAAAAATAAATAAAGACTCAGTATGAGAATTAAAAAAAAAAAAGGAAAAAAAAGAAAAAAGGTAACGGATCCCACAAAATGAGTGTTTGAAGAGTAAGTAGTAATTGTGGATCATATGGCTAACGTTTTAAATTTTTCCAAACAAGAATTTAATTTGTTTAAATAAAATTTTCCATAAATTTCTCCTTTTACGAACAATAAAAATTATCTTCCATCGTCATCTGAATATAATGAATAGGATTTTATCTCTCTTTTTTTTTTCATAATATTGTGATTTACTAGAAATTAACAATATTTAGACAAACAATAGCTCAAGCAATCCACTGACCTTGACAATTTTATTTTATTTTATTTTTTTTTTTTGAAAGGGCCTATTGAAATTACTCAACTCAACATAGAAAAATAAAACAACAAAGAAAATAATACTAAACAAAGAATTCAACTCATAGACTAAATAACCAAGTTAAAATCGATTAAACACGTCTCAACCCACAATGAGCATGTTTTCATTTCAAAAATTATAATCATAAACATGAACAGAATTTTGAAAACATATTATGCACACACACTTTCTAAACTATGAAAAAAAAAATAAAAAAATTAAGCCCTTGTTCTGTTCAACTATAAAAATGAATTAAAATTTAAGTCAAAATTATTAATTAATCTTAACTACATAATTCATGTGATCCGCAATTTTTCAACCATACATTCTATCTATTTTTTATCAAAATCTATTAAAAAATTAATTTTTATTTAAACCAAATATGGACTAAATATCATGCGCTTTTGAACATTGTAATTTCAAGAATAGTTTCGATTGTGAACTTCCGATTACAAAGTTAAGAATAATATCTTCAAATAAAAATACTAATCTGGATATCTATCTTCCTCCTTGTCTTGTGGAAAAACAATATTGTATTTGACTTTTATTTTCATTTTTTTAAATTAAATTTTGAAACACTAATTAAGAAATAAAAAGAGTAACATATATTAATTATAGTAATTGTAACCCGATTTAGTATATCCTTTGTAAAATTGTAGTATATTATTAAAAAGAGAAAATATTCTTGAAAACTTATTATGCCTTTGTCTGACAATCATTATATAAAAACTCTTTATTCTATATACTTATTTTTAATTATACATTCACATAATAAATAATTTAGCACGTAAATTTAAAATTTTAATCTACTTTTTAACCATACATTTTCCTAAAAATCACTATTTAAAATATTATTTTTCCCAAATAATGGTTGTCAAACAAGGGCTATGTTTGACTGTTGGTATGTGTTGCGTTTTTATTTTCATCTTTTTTAAAAACAATTATATATAAGTAAAAATAGTAAAAAGAAACACAAATATGCAAACTTTAAAAATGGAAGCCTTGCCAAAATTCGAAGCCTTAATCAACCGTCTAGATTAGCTTATGGTCGGGCTGGCTCTGATAAACAAGTATACGAAAGAGAAAAGGGTAGAAACAGTGTCGCAATCCTTTTACAATTGTAATTAATGCTATTTGAGTCAATTAAGAAATTACACACACACATATATGAACTATTTTTTGGAAGTAAAAAATATTGTGTAAAATTAAAAAGTGACCCAATATTACTTTTTAAAGTTTAGTATCAATTTTTATTAAAAAATTACATACAATGTTACTTTTATTAAAAATTGATGTTTGTTACTAAAAAGAAGTGATGAAATTTTCAAAAAGACGATTAAGAAAAGTGATAAATACTAAAAAAAAATAACAATTTCAAAAAAGTGACAGAAATTTTTAAAAAAAATTGTGACGAATTTAAAAAGTGAAACAAATTAAAAAAGGTTGCACATATTCCAAAAAAAAAAAAAAAAAGGTGACAAAAATTAAAAGAAGTGACAAACACTCAAAAACTAACAAAATTTAGAAAAAATGACAAACTCAAAAAAAGTTACAAACATTCAAAAAGTGATGAAAAAAAAAAACACTGCGATATAACTCTTAACAATACACAATACCTCCAAAAGGAACATCAATGTGTTAAAATGAAAAAAAAGGGGCTCATGAACAATACCATCAACGAATCCATAGTCACTATACTAGCTAAAAACTGATGAACACTGTTTCAACACTTCCAACAACTCTAATCCAAATTTTACATATATCAATGGAAAAACAACCCCACTTCCGGAAATTGTCATGGCATCCCTGGATTTTTTATTGCCAAATTTCATAATTATACGTAAGCCATTTAAATTGCAATGTTCCATCTTTAACAAAAACAAAAACTGTACGTGCATCTTTGTTACAAAGAAAGTTGCACACATAGCAATAAAACGGGCTTTCCTTTGCTATTCCTTCCATATTATGTACCATCGCCATGCACTCTTCAATGGAAGATTGAGATGATATATGTGTTGGAAGTGGTGGGTCAATTGGGTCAATTTTGACTACAATTTTAAGTGGGACCCGATGTTCGATGTATCGAAATTAATGCTCAATTAAATTCTACGTTCCGAACAGATGAGTGTAGAATATTTAATTGTGAAAAATCACTTCAATATATTGAGAAATTATGGTTGAAAGTTGGACAATAAATAAGAGGAATAAATGGGAAAGAATTAGAAAAATGTTTCAATCCCACATAGGTTGCAAACACAACCTTGAACCACTTAATAAACTTCAAGTTTGGATATGGGTTTGGGCCCCAAGGGGTACCAATAGTCTTTGAAAGGGGGGAGTCTTAGACAATGTCTAGACTAAT